TTTTTTTTTTTTTTTTGGATTGAAACATGGAACTACAATGGTGCCTCCTCCTTCGGATATCCTACTCCTCCACCTTGTCCATCTCTCCTCCTCTCCTCCTCCTCCTCCTCCTCCATCCCAAGGTCTCGCCAGCTTTTCTGATGTGAACTTCCAAGTTGATTGGTATCTCCTCCTCCACCCCTTCCCGTCCATCTTTCATCCACCACCGAAGTGCTAATTTCATGGAGTTTTAGGGTGGTTAGTGTGGTAGGAGGGGGTCTAGCGTGGTAGGAGGTGGTGCCAAGCTTTGAGACGAAATGGTGGGTCCCGGTTGCTGTCCGACGGTTCCCCCTGTCTGCAGGTCAGAATGGCGAGTACCAAGTACACTTCTGCTATGGTAAAGCGGCATTGCAACGTGGATGGGGTCGCAGGGAAAGATCCAAGCAAGGGTGGCAAATGGTGGGTCTGCAAGTACTGCGATTTGAAATTCTCGGGCAGCCTGAACCGTGTCAAGGAACATTACTCAAAGGGAACCTGTGCGGCGGAGCAGAGCAGGAAGGTTTTCACAGATGAAGAAAAAGAAGAAAGGAAGCAAGGGTTGAGACAGGCTCTGGCTGACGTGGCGATGGCGAATGGCGACAACAGTCTTCCTAGTGGATCTAGTTTGGCTACTGCACCAACGACCGTGGAGAATGTGGGTAGGGGCATGGGAAAAGGGGGTGCAGCATCCGACACGCGACGATCCGCTTCATCTGTGCGGCAAATGGTGTTGGAGGAGACAGACAGCATCATCATGAAGAATGAGATGACGTCAAGGAAGGTCGACAACTGGCTGACCTGCACGAACCAACCTTTCAATATGGTTGAGAATGAATTTTACCTTGACATGGTAAACACTATACGGAATGCCCATCCCTCATGGCGGATGCACGGCAGGGAGGCCGCAAGGAATGGTAGACTGGATGGCGAGAACAAGAGGTGCATCGAGGATGTGCGGATGATTGCAAAGAAGTGGGAGAGAACAGGGTGTATGGTGCAGATGGATGGGTGGTCCAACAGGCGAGGGACACCGCACATCAATGTGATGGTCTCCTCCCCTGTAAGGACTGTCTTCTGGAGGTCCGTTTGTGTAGAAGGGAAGGAGGAGACCATAGCGTACTACAACATCCTGGATGCTGCGATCCAGGACAATGGACCCAAGAGTGTGGTCGGGGTGATCATGGACAATGCTAGAGTCTGCGTCAAGCCGCGGAAGCTTGTTGAAAAGAAGTACCCTTGGATCTTCAGGGTTGGTTGCACAGCGCATGCCCTCGACCTTGCAGTGGAGGACTTCGACAAGTGCATTGGGTGGTTTTCCAGGGCGGTCAAGAGAGCGAACAAGTTGGGGAAGTTCATCATGCACCACGACAAGGTTTGTGCATTCTTCCTTGAACGTTCTGGCGGGGCACAAATAAAGAGGCCAGGAGTGATAAGATTCGCAATGAATATTATCATGTTGCAATCCCTTTTGGACCGAAAGAATGCCCTCAAACTTGCCGCACGTGCGAAGGGTTGGGTGTCTAGCATGGTGCGGACTGATCTGCGGTCCAACTTTGAGGAAGCCACGGCCACTATCCTTGACGAGAGTTTTTGGGACGATGTTGAGAAGTCCATCGAAGCCACGGAGGCTACTGTGAAGTTTTTGAGGATGGTGGACGGTCCAGGGGCCACCATCAGCAAGGTTTATCATCATATGGACGCCGTGGATCAGGACGTTGGAAGTCCTTACGGACTTTGAGAAAGCGGAAGTGGAATCGATCCTCATGGATCGATGGGCATTCATGACGTCGGAGCTGCATTGTGCAGCAGCGTTTTTGGATCCGGAGTTTCGTGCGCAATCTACCATCCACGATACGAAGATCTAGGCGGGGTTCAACATATGGTTGTACACATGGGCCTCGTCGGACGATTTGAAGGACATCAATTGGCAAGTGGATGATTGGGTTCGCATGAAGGGTGCATTGGGGTCGAGAGAGGCATTGGATGGCGCGCAATTGAGGACCCCATCCATGTGGTGGGACTCGTTCGGGTCACGCTTCAACCTCCTGCAGCCCCAAGCGATCAAGCTGTTAGGACAGGCAAGCTCGTCTGCGCAATTGGAGCTTGCACGAACTCATTTTCGGCAGGAGGAGGACGAAGTTGCTGTCGGGCCGTCTCGCCAAGCTTGTGTACAATAATTGGAATCTCCACCTGCAGTGGAGGCAAGAGAAGGGGGCTCGCGAAGACGATATCCACATCCCGTGGATGGAGGACTTACCGGATGCAGAGAACGAGGCGGAGGCAGAGCGCTATTATAAGGAGTGGGTGCAGAAAGTAAAGGCGAGCACCGAGGATATGGAGGTTGGCGCAGAGGATGATACCGTTGTCATTGCAGAGCTGGACGATGAAGGTGATCTGCCTTTGGCAAGGAGATGGGTGCGCAATGACCGACTTGACAACATGATGGACGAAGAGGATGACATCGCTCATATTGAGAACTATACGAACGAGTGGCAGTTCTGCACTGCACCGGGGAGGCATAGAGAGCGCTTGCTGAGGAGAAGATCATGGCACGAGCGACCAGACCCCTTAGTGGAGTACAACGTCGAGGAGCGAGAGCGTGCATTGCGGGCACGAGAGATAGGCGATTGGGTGTAAGGTAGATGCCCAGGGGGCAGCAGCGGAGCAAAACGACAGCAGCAGCAACATGCTGCTGCAGTCCGTGCTGCGGAAAAGCGCCCGGCCGAAGAACAGCTTTCGCCGCCGAAGAAGAAGAAGAGAGGACGCCCCACCAATGCCGAAGTGGCCGAGAGGACAAAAGCGGAGAAGGTTGCGAAGAAGGCTGCAGTGGCAGAGAAAGCTGCTAAGAAAGCAGCAAGGAGAGCAGCAGCGAGAGCTGCTAAGAAAGCTGCCAGGAGAGCGGCTGCTGCATCTGCGGATGCCCCGACATCCTCCCGCCTGGTCACAAAGGAGGCAATGAAACAGGGGGGGAATCGGACGACGGTGATCCTCGATGATGACAAGTGTGAAGAATCATCCTCCTCTTCATCATCATCGCCGTCGCCATCTTCACCTTCTGCATCATCTGCAAGTGGGGAAGATCAATGTGAGGACCATGTTGGGAGTGAAGAATAATGGGGCGAGGATCAAGGAAGTGAGGAGGGTGGTGACAAAATTGTCGATGGAGGTGGACAGGAGTAGATTGGGTGGGTGACACTGGTTGTGCTTTTTGGATGGTGTCGCTTCTAGACTCCAATGAGCATGATGCTCATTTGATTAACTCAGAGTTTCAATATTTATGGACAGCACTGCACTTTTTCTGCTTTCTTCTCTTTGCTACTTCGCAAGTTTGCATGTGTTTGTTGTTGTTCTATTTTGTGTTCGGTTTCGTTTGCTGCTTGCAGGTTCGATGATGACGCAGTGTTTCTGCGTCAACAGCAACTACCAGGTACGTTATATATCATCCCCACCTTGCAGTGCTTTCAAAAAAAAAAAACGAAAAAAAAAAGTTTCCAGACAGGACCGGACGGGGGATTGGACCTTCCCGCACAGTTCACGGACAAAACCGCACCGGACGGGCGAAGGCCATACCGGACAGCTTGCGGCATGTCTAGTACGGGTACGGGCCTGTAGGCCAGACGGGAAGGTCCCGGCCCGGACCCCGTACGGCGGACCGGACCGTGCGGCGCACGGTACGGTTGCAAGTATGATTAAAATTGTTTTCCAAATTTCAAAAAAACAATGTTAAACCACTAGTACCTATGCCGTGTGGGAAAATAGCGGGCCTCGGGTGTGACTCCGACCTTTTCGGATGGCCGAAACGAAACAACCACCGCCGATCAGATTTATCAATGGCAGCCAGCGTCGGGCTCAGGAGTTTTTCCCAGTTTTCCCTCATTTCCCAACACTGCGCGAGGTACTAGTGGTTTAAGAAAAAATTAATTAATTCAAACGAAAACATTTACTTAATTCTAAAATATTTTTGAAGTTCAAAAATTCCAAAAAAAAATAATTCAAATTATTTTCAAAGTTCGGGGAAAAAATGTCAGGAAAGAATAATTAACTCTACGTATTTTGAAAAATTTTAAAAAATAATTAATTAGGGGCATTTTGGACCTACAAAAAAAAAATGTTGAAAAAGAATTAAATTCATTCTAAAATATTTTCGAATTGCAAAAAAAAACATAAAAGAACTAGGCTACCAGCCGGGCCGCCCGGGTCACCCTATTTTCCTGGACGGCCCGGCCGTACACACCCGGGGAAGGTCCTAGCAGAAAAAAAAAATATCAAAAAAATCTGAAAAAAAACTATGATACGCAGAAAAATTTTACTCTTAATTTTCTTTTTTTTTATTAGGGCCCAATTGCATGGGTCCTGGGGACCATCTCACGCAAGTGTGTACATGCCATGCATCGTACTCCCACACACAATGRACAGTAGTCTGACAATAGACAAAGATAGAGAAGATGAGGACCGAGTTTCACAGTTTATATTATCAGAAATATGAATACAAAATGTTTCAAAGTTCCCCTGAGTCCAGCGCTCATCAGCGCAACACCAATATCTTGCCAACTCATCAATATGCCTTCCAGTGA